AGGGTGCTGGAGAAGTGCACTGCTGCTATGGGCCTAACAGCGGAGGGCTGCGACAGTGTCTGCCCCCACGGGAGCCTGATGCAGTGAACAGAAATTCTGACACCAGGCATGAAGGAGTGTTCTGAAACCTGGGCTTATTTCCAGGCTGGGATTGGTGGGTAACTTCCAGCTCACCTCACTGGAGCATAACCATGCCTCCCGCCTTCCTCAGGCCTACTGCGCTGGGGGCAAAAAATCATCTCGGTTATCTGTCCTGAGGGCATTCACTTGCACAGCACGTTGCCTTTTCAGATGCACAGGCAGCAGCTCAGCTCACTGTGCCCAGGTAACCTGGAGCAAGAGTTAGTTGTGGCAGGTGTGTGGCTGCTCCAGCCATGTGCAGTGTCAACAGGAAGAATGTGGATGCTGTAATAGAACAGTCACAGGTGACAGAGTCTGGTTAAAAGCACTTGTTTATTGGTTACAATATCAACTCATGGCAACATCTTTCACTGAGCCACTGTACAAAAACAAAGAAAAAGATCCATCATGGAAAAAAAAGAAGCTATAAACAGAGTTCATAGCAAGTGATTTTTTTTTTTTCACAGGGAAGTCTTTTTACAACAGCACTGTTAAAGAACAAATGGCACAAGTCCCTGGTTTTTTTAATAGCTTAAATAAAAGCTTTAAGACTGTTTCTGGATACATACACAATCCAAAGGCAGTGCAGAATCACTTCATAATTGGTAACATTACTGAAGTTTTCCAAAGTAGTCAGCAACAAGTTAAAAAATGAAACAAAACAGAAACTAAGCTGATGAGAAATGCTGGAAACTAAAGGCAAATTAAACCCAAGCATGTTTAGAAGCACTTTTTTTGGACTCCTTTGGATGTAATATGTACTACAAGTGTTCAGATGCTTTTTGTTTTTTTAAAATAAAAAAGGAGAAAAAAACCCCACAAATAGAGCACCATTGTGTAAGTAAAACAAAGGCTTGAAATACCTAAGACTATTCCACCGAAGTCCATATTAGTTAAAACCTAAACATACTGTGTGGTATAAGAATGTCAGGCACATGTAATCTGTTATCAGTTATTATATCAATTAGTAACACTGTTCACACATTTACCATAACAACACTGCATTAACATTCTGCATGTATTTTACATAACCAGCAATTGGATAAAAAGGCTTGTGGTGCCTCCGAAGTGTAGGAAGTAGTTTTACCAGCATGCATGCCAGATAGATAGATTACGGTATACAAAGTGCACCATCAACCCATGCTTAAGTACTTGTACAGGAAATGCTATCTCAAAAACCAGTCATTCTGCTACACGACCATTTATACCAACTAGTTTAATTAGCCAATACTCTCACCAACATCTTAAAGCACAGCACTAAACCTAGTGGAGGTGACAGTGTCCTCAAAGAGGAAAGACTAAGCACTCTTGGAATGTTTTCACAATGGTTTCATTCCACCTTAAAGTAATGTGAACTTCATTGTGGGACAAGCGGTTACACGAACTGAATTAAAGAGTAACTAGTTCCAACCCATGCATTACAGTAAGCACACTAGGACCAGCTGTTAAAGTTCAGCTTTGCCAAGTCAAGGTCAGGCCCTCTCCTGCAGCAGGGGGAAAAGCCCATTTAATCCGAGTTCTGATTGCAATGGATTGTATTGTTGTCAATACCTTGAACATTGATACTGCTGCAATTTAGCAAGGCAGAGAATAGCAATGTTTGTTTGGAAGAAAAAAGGTCTGGAGACAGATGGAAACAAACAGGCCCACGGTACTGGAGGAAGTGAGTATACATCAGAACAATGCCACAGAGAAGCTTCTTGTGGTTTCCAGAATCTCAACCAGTATCTCTACCAACAAATGTGTGTCCGTCCACATGGGAACAAGCCTGGGTTGGGTGCCTGCCTGATGAGTATTTGCTATTGCAAAGTTACATCAACACTAGAAAATGCTGACAATACTGTACCTGAATAAAATACATCTTGTTACTCAAAGCACATAGCTCCACTTCCCAAGCCATAGACAAGAGGCTGGGAATGAGTTAGTTACCTTACCACCGTTTTGGCACAGTGGTCTTAGTTCCTCCATTTCTGTAATTACACAAGTTGTGTGAAATTCAGGTAATGATGTAGTTTGGCAACAAACCATTAAAGATGGGTTCCGATGGACCCACTAGTGCTGCAAAACCCCTGGTGTAGGAAGGTTTTGGCGCACAGACAGAAATCACACAAGACATATACTTGAGCCTACATTAAACTAAAGGCACACTCCCTTTTCTTTGAGATTCAAAACTGGGAGTCAAACCTTTGAAGTAAAACTAAGGAAGGGTCATTTTATTACCTTCCTCGTGTTAGGAGGAGTCTGAGCTTCTACCATTAAAACCCCATCCATTTTAGGAAAGGCATCAATTGTGAAAGGCCACTGATCACCATGGGAAGAAGGAAATACCTCAGCCTGTGCAAGTTTATTATTTGGCCTCATGTAATAGCAATGCCTTACACCGAATCTGTAGGCTTCAAAGAAAAAACAACCCACCAAAATCTAAGCAATATCGAGGACAGTAACTCAACAGCACACGTCACCTTGGCGGGATCCACCACCAGCTTCCTACAAGCTCCCCAGAAGGATCAGATACCCTTTTTCCCCCATTGTGCATGGGCTCCTTCCGGGTTTCCTTGTGCGCCGGCACAGAAGGAGCCACCTTGGGACCTGGGACACTGCAGACACTGGTTAACTGAATGGCAAAAGCCAGCAGGCATCTGCATCATGCTTTTGGAAACCTCGTTAGCACACAGTTGTCATTCCTTATTTTAAAAGCAGCTGAATCCAACAGACAGTTGCCCATCAAACAATGACAGTGAAATTACTCGTGGTAATCCCTGCGCAAGAGCCATGACCACAACTGCAGTCTACCTGAACTGCTAAGGAAAGGTATGTACGTCTGTAAAACTGTTCTTAGTACCAGAATGATGTAAAAATGGCACCTGTCTTCTCAGAGGTGGTGATGAGGAAATTGGTTCAAAACACTCCTATGGAAAACAATTTTTTAGAAAAAGAATATTTTCTTAAAATTCCCTAGTAACAAATTTCCAGAATGATTCGCTCAAGGCAGCTGGGAGTTAAAAAAAACAATCAAAAATAAACCGTGTCTGCAAGATCCCAAAGAGCTGCTCGCTTGAGAGAGTAAAAGGAATTCTGTAATAGTTCTGTTAATGCAGACATCATAAAGCCAACTGCTGCGGCATCCCTGTGACATACAGTACAGTGTGATTTTGGTCCTACACCGCAGTCTGCTGTCAGTAGGTGTTTACTCCTCCAGCACAAGGTGCGCCTTTTCCTAAAGGCGAATTTACTGCGACTGACCGGTACGTTCCTTGGCACCTTCACCATTACAGACACGGCAAGTTTACAGGCACGGTCTGGAAGTACTGAAATACAGCATTTAAAAATGGCACAAACTTGACAAGGAGTCATCTCGGCCACAAATCTGCTGAGGTGTATTACAAGATACCAGGCCCTTTCATTTCCTACCTGACCCCAAGATACCCAGGCTCCCCGTAGCTTCAGATGAGGGCAGCTCAACATTATCTTCCAACCTGATGATTTAAAATTTGCCTTATCTTAAAAAAAGCCACTTACGAGAAGCCAATAGGACTTAATTCCCTTTTCCAAAACCGCCACAGACATGCAGGTTCCCAAGAGAACATCCACTGCAAGCGCAGGAGTGCTGCCAGGCACCAAGAAGTTAATTGATCTTCCCAGGTCACTTCAGATGGGCATCAGTCCCTTGATTTTCCTACATCTACACTCAACTGTACTAGATCAGAACCGATCATTATAAGCAACTGACATCAAAATCAGAATAAAATTGGGAACAGGAGAGGAAATGGCTATTTACAGTGTCAGAGCTACAGAACAATTAGCATCTAATAAGCCCCCACGGCACAGAGCTCTGTGACCACAGGAGAAGAAGCAAGTCACAAAGTTGACAGGGTGAAGTTTTAAAGGGTCACACAGGTAAGTAAGGTTATTTGGTTCGTTGTAAGTTACACAATCCCTTTTAGAATTCACACTGCACATAACAGACAAGCGCTTTTGGTTGTGGTATGCTTTGGCAAGCCCCTAATTTGGAGGGGGATTACAGGCAATTAACTGCACATTTAAATCTGCAGTAAGAATTTAAGCAAAGTCCTCCTGAATTTCTCAGCTGACTGGTAATTGAGCACGCTTTGCAAGTACACAGCTCCCTGCACTAAGCCCAGTAAGTCTGGGAGTGCAGGTCAGCCAGCGTTTAGGATGGGTCAAAACAACCTCATTTAGTTAGAGCTGAACTCTCAGAAGGAAAAGCACTCGGCCACTTGATTACAGCAATGGAGGGCACTGGACTTCCACACCCGAGGACTGCTGTGAAAAGCTGCGGTAACAACGGAGCTCTAATACTTCGGATTTTTAAAAAAATATTATTTTATAATTATTTTTGCTGTTGTTGCAAGTCTGCCTGGCGTTAACTCCTTGGTGTTTGGAGGCCATGACTGCCAATGGATGAACCAGGAACCACTGGCTTGAAGAAGGAACCCCCAGGATTAAAAACAGGCAAGCAGGTCAAGAAGTGAGCGTGTAAGGCGGTAGGTATTAACTGGGAGTCTCCAGGGCCTTTAAAAAACAGAAGTTCAAATGCCTTCCATTATAAAAACACATACATACCATTGGCTTCACTTTATCTACAGTAAATTCACAAAAACATTTATAACAGCAATCTAGTTCATCCACTACAAAACTCGGAAGTGACATCTCGGGTTAAAAGCAAAGCTATAAATGCAGTTCCTTAAAAAATGCGAACATATTTCTTTACATACAGACAAATGTTACATGATTGGCCGCTATAACGTGTATATTCTGTTATGTACAAAAAAAAAAGTACAGGATTAGCAGACTGAGCACAAGCAAAAACCCTTCAAGGACAATCTAACCAAACCACCAAAAACGAAAAGACTGGCTCTTAGTTTGTCGGTCACCATGATTATGTGTGCTGGCCCCTTTTAAAAAGTCAGTGATTTCTTCCCCCCTCCCCTATTTCTTCACTTGATTTTTTTTTCTAGTTTACAGAAAGCCTTTTTATGTAATAATCAGTGAATAGAAAAACTTCACCTGCAAATACAAGGTAGAAATGTTATTTCACAGCTATAGGCTGCAGCATTGATCTCTCCAGATCTCAAATGGAGAATGTACATGTTTGGCTCCCAGTTAATTCCAGATTCTGAGAAAACTGTCCCAAGATCCTGTAGCTACAGCCATGCCGTCATCAGTAACTCCTAAACAGCTCACACGGTTGTCATGGCCAGCAAGGACACCTGGAAAAGAAGAAGCAATAGAAGTTAATATTCACAGAATGTCGAGGACTTCAGCTGTTCCTCTGCTCTCCCAGAGAAGTCTTCAAATTCACTAAAAAAGATGTACTGCAAGTTCTAATCATCCTTCTTCTCTTTCCCCTGAAGAACTCTCTACATCACAACAGCCGTATCAAGAAACCCAACAATGAGGTTTTTGAAAAACATAAACACAATATTGCCTCCATTTTTCTTGCCCTCTCTTCTTCTGCCCCAAAGACCTCCTATTCCCTATTCAGTCTCTGTCCTGTTTTACCCTTGCTTTCAACAATGCTGTCCACAATTTCAGCCATGAAGTACTTGTGAAAACAAAAGTGATTATCTCCTGACAATGCCCTGGATACAGGAACTACCTGGCGTTTCTCATGTTTGCAAACCTTAAAGGATCAACAATCCCCCATGTATTTGTGTCAGGCTATTGGAAAGTCAGCACTGTACCCTGCCTCCCGCTTTCTTTCCGCTTTCCTTCTATTTGCACTTGTCTGCTTTCCCAAGGTACCACATCCAGGTCTCTTAAAACTCAGCCTGTCCACGTCCCTTAAGGAAAAGGACAGATTTTCAGTCCGAGCAGCAAAATCAAGGTTCAGAGCTGAACCAGGGCCCATCAGTTGAATTACTCTACAAAGTGAAAAAGATGTAGCTATGCTATGAACATGCTGCCCATCCTGACAGAAGTGACTAACTCAAAGACTAAAAATGTTCACTTCCCCTCTTCTCCCAACAGCAGGAAATTACGGTCCCCAGAGCCAACGGACTAGTGTAATTTACTATAATCCAATTTATGTCCTGCAAATGTATAATTTTGGATTATTTCATTTCATACACTTGAGTCAAGTAAATTTCCTGCAGACATAATTTTGGAGGCTGTTCCTTAGCCTCAAGAGCTGGTATCTTCCAGCACACAGATGCCTAATAGCCAACAGCCAAGAACAGGAGTATTTCACTGACTGAAGCATTTACTCCACACATTATACACATGAAACTATAATGCAGTGTAAGAACTGGAAGATATAAGCAAATGCGATAAAATAAAAGGATGCCATTCCAGAAGAAGACAGTGTTTAAAGGAAGCAAGCAGATTCCGTAACATCAGCAACAGCACTGGCAATGAGCTGGTTCGCTGTTTTGCATAGATCCTGAATATCCATCTTCTGGTAAGGAAATGGAAAATTCAGCTCATTGCAGTTCCGTGTCCTCACCTGCTCTCTCCCCTTTCAGAGTGTCCCACACGTTGCAGTTGAAGTCATCATAACCTGCTAGCAAGAGGCGGCCACTTTTCGAGAAGGCTACAGAAGTGATCCCACAGATGATGTTGTCGTGGGAGTACAGCATTAATTCCTGATCGGCACGTAGGTCAAAGAGTCGGCAAGTGGCATCGTCAGATCCAGTGGCAAATGCATGTCCGTTAGGGAAAAACTGGAAGTTTTAATTAAGAGACAGGAGTTTGACACCAGGAAGATACACTGCCCATGCATTATTTCAAGAACACAGGATTATTTTGCCAGGGTGACAAGGTAAAGGCAGAATCATTTATTTAAAAAACAAACCCAAACCCAATCTGCATGTTAAAATCATGCATATACCCAGCTACACAACAGAACACTTCTGGAACAGTACTGGTGACACCTGAATGACTGGAGTTTTACCCAGACGGTTCCTGCAAGTGGTATTAACGGGAATCAAAGAAGATGCAACTAATTCCTACAAAATGAAGCAAAAGGCAGTTACGTGGATCCTGGCTGTGGGCCAGGAAGACCTGGGTGAAATGGTAACACAATGTTCCATCTGGAGCTGGTCAGCCTGATTCACTCAGCCAGGAGATTAGACTGCAAGCAATTCAATTTCCAAAAAACCTACTCCAGATCAGAGTCATTCTTACAACTGCCATATTGATTGAAATGGGAATGAAGAGAGCTCAACACATCTCAGGATTCAGGTCTAAGTATAGGAACTGCATTTTTCTACTGGTCATGCTTTTGGTATTTTCTCAGCCTTTATAATGTCTCATGTTTATCAAAACCAGATGCAGCTTAGCCTTAGATTTCATTCCCTATTTATCAGAGCTTGTATCTTGCAGATCAGAACATAGTGTTACTATGACAGAGAGGAAATATAATCCAGTTTATAAATATTATAATATGATTCCAGGGATGAATATTCAACGTAAGTACCGAGTTAAACTTTGCCTTCCAGAGTATTTTGCTGAAAGCTCTTTTCAACAAAAAAATATCAAGTATACTTTTGCTCAACACAGAACTTTAAGATGAGGATGTTTGGCTATTTTGCTCCCTGTCAGTGTATTGCATTTATCTATAATTTTCAGTTTTTAACACATCACCACACTGCAAAGAAGTTTCACTCCTCCATACTTTGCTGCTTAACAAAAGGTCTCAGTTACTGAATAAAAACTTAGCCGAAAGTATTCCAAGAACACTTCAAGACATCACAGATAACAGTAATAATTAATTTATAAACTAGATATACAATTCTAGACCTCACCCTAAAAAAGTAATTGATTTTAAATCAAGACACCCCAGTAGACAATAAGCTGAATTCATGCAACTACAGCTTTTATCCTCCCCCTTTCTTCCCATGTGGAAATACAAATGATCACTTACACAAACTGCATTAATATCCGACACATGCCCTGTGAACGACTGTCTGCACATTCCATCTCGAATATCCCAAAGCTTCGAGGAGGCATCACAGGCACCCGAAACAAAAGTCCTCATATCCGGACTTAGGGAGAGACTCATCACATCACCAGTATGCCCAGTGAATGTGGTGGTCTGTTGACCAGTTTCAATATCCCACAAAGCGCTGCAGATAAAGTGACAACATTAACACAGTGTATGTGGTTTATCGAAGAGTTTTAAGTTGTAAATACAAACTAAGGCATTGGAGAGCACGGGTGAGGGGGAGGAGAAAAAAAACAGGGGGGGGAAATAGAGGGAAAAGGGGGCAACAAGAGCTGAAAAACTCACCAAGTGGTGTCTCCTGAGCTAGTGACAATTTGGTTGTCATCCAGAAAGCGACAACAGGACAAGTAACCTAAAACCAAAACCTTTATGTTAGTTTCGGACCCAGGAGTAATAACCGAAGTTTAAAATCCAAGAGCAATGATTGAAGTTCTCCACAGCTAGCCTCTAACCAACAAAACTATTTCACAGTTAACAATGCACTTCACTTTGAGATTGTTTCATTCAGTACAATAAAAAAAACAAAGTTGAAGCAAGAATATGGCTGACCTGTATGCCCTGGCAGCTCTCGGCTCACTCTCACATTGCCCTCTCTGGTTTTTAAGTTGTATATGGAACAGATGTTGTCCAATCCACCACAGGCAACGTAGTTTCCAGATGGTGCGTACGCACAAGTCATCACCCAGGAGGATCTCAAAGGGATGGCGTGCATCTTCAGAGAGACAGAGCTCATGAATGCCAAGTCACATGTCAGCTTTCATTTTTCACTGAGGTCATTCACATCAGTTAGTGAATTATAGCAGATTAAACACACAAAGTAGATTGTGTATCATAAGTTTCAGTATTTTGATTTTACAACATATTACAACTCATTTCATTTTTAAACAAACATACATACCAGGATGAAAAATGCCAGTAGGCTCCACAGTAGATGTACAGAACTTCAGTACAACATTATGTAACAGCAAAGCTATTCTAAACATAAGCATTTACAACATTTGTTTATTCTACTTAAATTTCTTTATCCAGTTCTTCTACAGAACTATAGGTTATAAAATGGGATGGTTGTACTCATAGAGCACAGACAGTTTACAGAAGCAGGCCACCACTCCACACTCCACCTAAGCTTTCCTCATTTAACAGGTTTTTCTTTTGTCTTTTTTTATCTCCTTTCTCTGCCCTCAAAAGCTCTCTTGTAAATTCTGAGGTTGTGCATTTCTACAGTTGAAAACCAAATGAGTTTCAGAAGCAACACCACACAGGCAGAGAGTAATTGCCACAAGCTACCACACTAGCAACTTAAAGTGAAAATGTGACGTGTTACCTACAACTATTGCTTCTGAGACACCACCTACATCATATCACTAGTAACCAGCTAGTCATGAAAGGAAAAAGAAGATTATGTCTGAATTACAAAAAGACTGCCTCTTTTCATTTTTGCATCGCCACCATAGAGGAAAACAGACACAAGCCCCCTCCATCACACACATTGTCCATGAATTATGAATAGAAATAACTCTACCTTATTTGTTGTGTAACTATCCCAAATAATTAATTTTCCATCTTGAGAAGCACTGACTAGTAGCCTAAAAATAAAATAAAATAAATTATGTTAATATAAAACAAACTCCCCCAAAATCTAAAAACAGACATACATCATGCATGATTACCAAGTGATTCAGAAAGGTCACCATTTCTTTATTACCCTCTGCTTTTCTTTGGGGGTTGGAGAGTGGGGAGATGATGCTGGAAAAAATCTGCAAAGGTCTACACGTTACCTGACCAAAGAATCACATGTCTACAGGAACTCATAATTAACAATGGACAAAACTAAACTTACCAAAAACACATTTTATGAACTCTCCGCAGCTGCTTTTATTTTTCAGATACTAATATTTTAACTACACAGCTACACAAAAACAAACAAGAAATGTAGGGGAAAATAAATTTTGTTTTGAGAGCAGCTTCTAGATGTATTTCTTTCTGGATGCATTTCTTTCTGGACTACAAGACAGAGAATTGGCCACGAGGCACTGACCATCAGTTAACAACTGACCATCAGTTACTGTAAAGGCAGCACAGTAAAATTCCTTCCTAGAAGCTAAGTAACTTTCCCCACTGTGTACAAAAGGATCTTTTTCAATGAAATAAAATTTGTAAAGTTTTTAAATTTCTGTTATCACAGAAATTACAGGATTATTCAACATCCTGGAAAATACAATATCCACCATTCCAAAAACATGCCTCACCACATACCCTCCTCTGCTTAAGTAAACCTAAAGAACATAGTTAAAACTAAAAGAAGGAAAAGGCAAAACGTCTGTGGTAAGAACACACAAAGTACCTCTCTTTTCAATCAAGGCTTCTCTGTTACCACTATGCAATCCTCACTGGCTACAAAAAGGTGAACTATAACTAAAGACAAAAACCCCACTACAGCTGTGGTCTGTGACCCTCTGCAATGGCACCAATACCAAAGCACATGGCTCCCAAAACCTGGTATTAATTCTGAAGTTGACATTCTGATTTCTAGCCCTTCAGGTGCAGGTTTAAGGGTCACTTGTACAAACCTTGAGTCCGATCCCCAGTGCATAGCATAGATTTTGGCTAAGTGACCTCTAAGTGTGCGCCTTGTTCGCATTTGAATTCGACCCACTGAGTCCAGACTTGTTGTGATCTAAAAATAAATAAAACCAACCCTTGAGATACTTAGAACTATTTTTAATATACAAGATAACAAAATACATTTGAACTCTGATAGAAAATAATCTATCTTGGCATGCAACATAAAACAAAACCTAAAGGATACTAGTGTACAGCCCAGGATTAATTAGGTCCATGCAACACTAAGGAAAACAAATTTTACAGAATACAGACTAACATAGTTCACAACGGGTGTACCTAAAACTTCAGAAAGTTTTTAAAAAATACTGCCATGTCATATTGAAGCTATTTCATATTATCAAATCTGAAAGTTTTCAATTAAAACCAGTGGAAGATAATCCTCCAATATTTACTGCATTGCTACTTTTCAAAGCATGGCAGAACTTTAAATGCAGAATTCTTTTGTTTCCAAAACAGAGCTAGAAGACATTTCTTTAAGTCTTTCTAAATATACTAAACACAATAAACACACTCTATTTAAAAGGTAAACTGGAAGCAGGACCCATTACGATGGTGGTGTTTTTTGACTGGCTGGAGCTTTTGGCTGGTTTACTTGTTTTGGAGGTTTTTTGGTGAGGTTGTTTTGTATTGTTTTTAAGTAACTGTAAAAATACACAGGACATTTCCAAAGGCTTATTTCACTTTATTCTGTCAGTTGCTAAGCACAAGCATGTTACAGTCGTAAATTGTATGGATTTTTATTTACATATCAAGTAACAGCCTATGCACAGAATCAAGAACGTACCTGAGCAAGAGTTGTGTCGCTACATGCTTTTCTTGCATCCTGCAACAAAAGAACGGGACAATTTCAATCTAAAAGGCAACACTGAGCAAACAACTGAAAGTGTCTAAAGAAAAAAATAACTCTTAAGCTAGACTTCACTACACTCAAAATGCCTCAAGCCAACAACTTGCATGCCAATATGCCTTCCTGTCACCCTAATGTTTTATTGTCCAAGGAATCTAAGCGGGTGGTAGCAGAAGAAAAGGGACTTAAGGAGGGCCATGCCCTTCTTTGGAGTCCCTTTCTACAGAGTATGTGATTCAAAGGCACCTGGACCCATCCTGAAGTCCCAGCAGCTACACTCTTCCCTGTATTCCTTCCCTGTTGTCAATGTGCTTGCTCAGGGTGTGCTCAGCACCAAGGGGAAAACTGACCCACCCAAAAAAGCAAGCACATATTATACATGATTAGCAAGCTTTGTGCTACAGGAGACTCTTGCATTAACCCCTCTATGAGCACAGGTGTGATGATGCCAGTTAGAGAGGCAGGATGAAAATTAACAGGCAAGACCTGGAGAGCAGGACAGACAGCAGGCTTAACCAAAGCTTCAGCTGCTGATGCACTTCATACAAAACCAAGATAAAAGCCAGTCAACTAACACCCTCATTCATTTCATGCAGTGGATGGTGCTCAGGTCTCCTTGCAGATCCTCTTGTCTTTTTTTCATTATTTCAGACTCTATGGGCATATGACATACTTCTGCATATTATTCAATCTTACCTAGAAAACAGACTTCACTTTTGTTTGTATAATCACAGTAACAGATTAGACACCTGACAAAGGCAACACCCGGATTTTGCAAAACCTGGTTTCAGTTGCGATTGTGACTACAGCACACCCTGGCAACTCAGGCTCCAGAAAAACAAATAAATAGGCACACAGTCAGCAACCACTTCTGAGAAGCATGGTTTAAAATAACTGGCTTAAAATTAAGACAAGAACTCTATAGCACAAGTTAAAGATAAAACTACCAATAGCAGTGTTGAAGGATCAGCTGTAGGACCCCCTCTAACTCCCCGTAATTCCCCCAAATACCTTCCAACTGCTGTAAGCAGTGAAGCAGGCCCCCCACAAATGACGGATGGATGGCCACCTTCACCACTAATCTGTGTGTCCCCCGTCCCAGGAAAGCATTCAATCTGTGCACTGATGGCAATGCCCTCTTTGAGAGGAAGAACGGAAACATTTACTCAACACGGTTTGGAACTGCACCAACACTTTCAGACTGGGATCTTAAAGATTTTCAAGCTGCTGCTGGAGAGTTACTTGACACTGCAACTTTAACAAATCTTAGTGCATGTTTATTTTGACCACCCTTTATAGCTTTCCTCCCAGAACACAAGCCTGAGAATGGATTAAGTCATCTCAACTTATTTTTAAAATGTCTGAACTGTAGAAATATTTATAAAATGTTGACGTCTGGAATCAGGAGGGGTTTAAAATACCAAAGCAGCAAATCCCCTAGCGCTCAGGACTTATTTCATCCACAGGAAGAAACACACTGTGTTTTAAACAACTTTGTTTAGTTTAGCTGAAATACTTGAAGACGTTTGACATAAAATGAATTCTGAATGCAGACTGAACAAAACAAAGCAATTTTTCTAAACAGAGAGCTATTAGCAACACCTATACTTGAGGCTGTCTAATAACTTGCCATGCGACTGGCAAAGCTGCAGGAGAAGTAAGGTTTCAGCAGGCTATTTTAACTCTCTCATTGTAACTGTCATTTCTACATATGAATCATCATAACAGAATCATTAATATCACAGAATGGTTTGGGTTGGAAGGGACCTTAAAAAGCGCCTAGTTCCAACCCCCTGCCGGGGGCACAGACGCATCAGTGTCATAACATAAGCACCTTCGTCTACACAATTGTAGATTTTTCTCAGTTCATCCACTAGACAATGTAGAATTTGTGAGAAAAATCTGTGCACTCCATGTGGACTGTGCAGCTCCCACGATTTCCCAGCACACACACTGAGGATTTCATTTTTATCAAAAACAAACCCTATGTGTGTTTTTAAAATATAGTGTCTTTATTTGTTCAAACTGTCATTCAATTTCAAATGACACTGGACCAAGTATACAACACCTCCAGAAATCATATCCTGAACGTCAATTCTCAAAGTGAGGACATGCATTACATCAGAATTTTATTATGGTTTATATTTATTTTAGTTTCTTATTACAGACAGAAATAGGGACCATAAAGCCGTCTGCTATCTCGCAGATCATTGTTCACTGACGTTTCAAACTTCCTGCACTAAAACTTCACGCAGCCTTACTTTATCCCTCCAGCATAGCATATCTGTGAACAGCGCTGCAGCTGTAATAACTGCATGGGGAGGCAAAGGTACTGCATCACCTAGGTATTGTAAATGAAAAAAATAATCATGAAACATTCCTAAAACATAGCAGACTATTGGGAACCTGAAAGCTATGCATCAGAGTTTATTCTGCTTCAGGAAGCTGCAGGTACAACCTTATCCCGACCTCACTCTTAAGCACAAAGCTGACTTTTTGTGATTATATTGTTAGTGAAAAACAGGCAAACCCCAAGAGTTGTGAACAGCTACGACAGCAAACTGCTATCTGTAAAACATCAGGTGTTGTTGCTGACCTCATCTCTTTTTAGGAATGCATCAACAATAATTCCTGAAAATTCCCAGCTCACTTGATACTCTAGACAATTAAAATCCTATTTTTTTTTTTAAGATCCTGTATCTATCCTGTTATTCATCCCGTACAACACACCAATTTATAAAAGAAAACTGTGTGAAGATAAGCACAATAAGCAAGATAAATAATCACCTATACCAATATGAAATGAATTATTTGGTCAGAAAGTTTCTTGAATATTAAGTCATCGGGAGCCTGCACTCAGATCCAAAAAGGTAAACACTAATTGCCAATGCTGAGCCAAAAGACTCCGATGGCAATAACCATGGTTACTCAGCTACATCTGTGTAGATTCAGTTACAACTTTCAGTGACAGAGGTACAAGGGAGACGTTGAATCAACCCAAAGCCACAAAATTGAGTCCTTATACAAAGAGACAATCAGATTTTTATGATCTAAAACTTAAACCCAAACACTCCTGCAACACAGTCTAGCTCTCTTACTTCCTTGGTATCTCTTTCTTCACACAACATAATTTTGCATAGAACTAGACTGATTGATTACTCAGACTGAACTAAGGCTAACTGGCTCACCCCAACATAATATAATGAGAAAGCCTTCATACATCAGGCAGAGGAAGAACTGAAAAATTACGCGTATCTTTGTGCAATGCCATAATAAAGCTTAAATTTAAGAAAAAATATTTTAAACTAAAATTTATTTGCATTCCACTACAGAGCTGCAAGAAGGGGTAGCCAGTGCCACAACACTGACTGATCCCTGCTTGTCTTTCATCAGTGTATTAAGTGAAAACGGGACACAGAGCTCCCCTTGGATGATACTGAGTGAGCAGCCAGGAAAACAACATTTGTCCCCAGCACAACTACTGCCACACAAAGTGGTGTTTACCGTGTGGGTGATGCTAACGAGCAGCCTGACATCCACTGCACTAAGCAGCAAACCACCATAAAAACAACTGCTGCCAGCAGATGCCATGCTGGAAAAGTCAGTGTGCATGCAAAATATTCTAGGAAACCTGTAGCCTGAGCCGATGGAATGTTTGCAAATATGGCATTCCCATATAAATCACATTTATGAATGCTTCATGTTTAGGAAAAAGATATTTTGATGAAGCATAAACAGGCATTGAAGATCTTATTATACTTTGTACTTTTCTTTCTACAGAGAACTGCATCACAGAAATACGCAGGCACGTTGCAACAGATTTCTGCTAAACTGGTTTTGGGCATGAGATCTCATACTTGGTTTATTTTCAATGAGTAATTTCAATAAGAAATGAGCACATACGGAGGGTATCTACGTTTTCAAAAAATAAATTCAACAGGAATCAAAGAAATAGGGCTTGTAGAAATGACATCCACCCCTTGAAGGTTTTCTCTCGCACTCCGTATGCTTTGACCTGCATGCTTATCAAGCGTGGCAGCACAGTGGTCACCTTTAGCCAGAAACAAGTTTTTCCAATACCCTTAGTCATGCCTGGGTTCTGGCAGTTTGCTGCTCTGGTTTTGTTTTTATTTCCTTTACATCCAAAATAAAAAATTTGCAGACACATACACCCCTAGTAACAAAACACAGCAAACTTCTTAGCAAATAAAACATTATGTTCAAGACATATTATAAGTGCATTTCATCAGACCAATGGCTTACTTTTCCAATTTTTAAACAAATATCCCTAAAATATTTCAAGCTCTGTACAACTTTAACAAGAGCAAGTAACAGATGCGATCTTCACATTTTATTCCTTTAAAAGAGGAACTTTATCATGAAGAATAAGCAATTAGCAATTCTTACTCTGATTTGATTTCGCAGCTGCTCTGCCTCCTGCCGTAACTGTTCCAGCTCACTCATCTTCAGCCTCTACTTCTCACGCTCCACTGGTGAAGAAAACCTGCCAGAGCGAAGAAGAGTAAGTTTCAGTATCACTTTCTCCTCCTTAAAAGAAAAACCAAACCCAAACCCCCCACGAACTTATACTTGTTCTGCCTTTGGAAAGGCTTCCCTTTAGCGCACAGTCTAATTTGGCAAGACCTAAGTTATTTCAATTCCTGAATTACCATGAAAAGCAGAATTAAATGAAGTCCAGTTCGAATACAGAAGGAACTGTCAACAGAAGCACCCACTGTACTTCAAAAACCTTACTGAATGCGTTTGTGGCACCACTCTGCTCACCCCTCTCCCAGAAATCTCTGTCAGTCTTCACCCCAAGATGGCAACAGAGAGCAAAGACTGTAGTGGTCGCCTTAAACCTTTCATAACCTTTGAGCTCAACAGTGCTACGATACAAGCACCTTTGCACATGACATCCAAGCGGTTTGTTTTAATTAAAGATGAAAATTTTGAACCCTGGACTACAGCTGAAATAGCACCTTTCTGCCCCCCACCCCCATTTTCCTTGGGCAAGGCACAGTAATATTTTTATTTCAAGGCACCCACACAGTGAAAATGGATAGTGAAAAACAAACCCTCCCTAAAAGCATCCTCATGCTGGTATAGCCCACAGCAGCCTAAAGCAGTTCTCATCTGAACAAGGACTAAAAGCAACCTCAATAAAAAGATCAAGAAACAGCAAGATCGTTTTCAGGTTAGTAATTTTTTCAATCAGATTTTGCATCTGATTTTTTCAGTGTGTTGAACAGTTTCTTCAGGTCAAGCTTTCCTCTTTATCCCCAGAACGCAGTACAGCCAAACACCACTGCAGAAACCTTTTAAGTCTATTCACATACATGTACACTTCAATATCCTTGCAGTACAAATAAAACAAGCTAGTAGCGTGACTCTCAAACATGCCACGCAATTGTCTGTATTTTTTACCGTAACAGAAAAACCACACCAGAAAGGTGGCAGTGGTGGTCCCATGACATTATCTAAAAAGCCCAAACCACTTCTAGCTCATAGAAAAAGAAAGACAAAAGTCAGACTGCTATTCAAAAAATGAAAATTGAGGGAGGAAGGAAAAGAAGTGGGGTGAACCACCGATTTAAAACATCATTCTAAGCTTTTTACTTTCGCATGAGACACCATACAGTACTGTCCCTCCAATTTAGTCCACTGAAAAATGCACAAAAACCAGGGAAGAATGGTCACAGTGTGACCAGCAAGTCGTACACCTCCAGGGAAACCCCTTGTCTGCTCTGGCTCCTGATTCTCTGTAGTTCAATAGTGACATGCTTTAAAAGACAGACTCTGGAGAGGTTTTTTCCATCTATAAAACATGACACTCCATAGATGTAAACAGTGAAAAGTTTTGGTTCAGAGTAACTTACTAACAAGGTGATCAACCTTGGACTAAACAGCTTACGCAAGCATTTGAGAGCTATGAAACATCTAGCTCAAGAAAAGTCTGTCTTCACTAATTATCCACCTACTCTTTCTTTCTTTCAATCTGAAACTCCACACTTTCCACAGATATCACTGCAAAGTCCATTTCACAATCAATGCACATACACAAACTGGATCATCTCCAAATCAAAATACATCTTAATCAGTGGCAACTTAGAAGGTCTAACTCATATTTTCAGTTATACATAAGCAAATGGAGTTCACACCTTTCCCTTCCTCAAACCTATGCTCTGTTCAACTACAATGACATTACAGTTTGTATGCAAATACTCTAGGCAACTACGTTATTTACTATCATCTTCCTGTTTCAGAAGCCCAGACTATTTAATACTGCCTAATGCACATCAGGCATAACACAGAAGTAATCAACACTGATGTCCGATTTAAAAAAAACAAGCACTAAAAATACCACTTTAGCATGCATGCTAATCACATGCCTTTCTAGTCTATCAAGCTTAATTACAATCTTAATACATTTGATTGGAATACTATACCTCTATAAAATACAGCCCGACTTTCAGCTTCAATAGTGTCAAATTATCCTTTCAAGCATGTTTTCCCTTTTTTGTTCTAGAACCTACACAAAGGTTAACACAGACAAAACAAGGGACTCAAAGGCCTGAAGCAAGCCAGCCATGATGCCTGCCAACATTTCAGTAGTCTTGCCTGCTATTTTTAACAGAAGATAAAGATTCCTAACACAGAAGTTGATGTATCTCTAATTTTCTGAGAAGGGAAGTCAGCCTCTGCCCTGTGATGTGCCACACACTTCAGTGCTCTGTAAATAGTAACATCAACACAGAGAGTAATTGATCACAAAGGAAGTTCCATTACTATTCAACTGGAAGCATGCATGGCTGGTCACAAGTAGCTGAAGTCAGGGCATTTTCTTTATTGCTAGGTAAAAATAGGAGCATATTAGAAAATTAGCACTCAAAGACCATCAATGACCATTCTGCACTTCAGTTGTAAAGTCAGTCTTAATGACCCTATCATTCATGGCAGTACTGTTCATCATTTTTAATGCCATTTCTGTATCAAGCAGCACCGGCAGCTAAATAGCTGTTAAGCTTATCAGCTTTAAATTGTGTATACCTGTACAAGTTCCCACGTGGACAAAATCCAGCTCCAGAAGCCTTCCTACCCACCCACCTTTAGCTTAAAAATCAATTCCTAAGCAAATATTAAAAGCAAATTAAAAGACAATGGTATTTCATACTTTTTTTGAAATAATTCTTTTTTGTAGTTGAGAAGTCCTAGCAGCATCAGTATGTTCTAAATTTGCAAGGTCATTGGCATTACTGCTCAGCAGAAATGTATCAGTGGTTCAAGGTCAAGCTATACCACAATGAATACAATGGCCTCCAAGCCAGTACATATTTCTACAAGATCTAGATTCATTTTAGAACTGGATTAATTCTAGCTTTAAAGCATTAAAGTTCCTTCCCAGTACACAGCAGCTGAATAGCAAACTCTGAGATATTAGTAAACTATATATAAACAGTGGACTACTACTACTACAGTAAACAAAGTGCACAGTTTAACTATTAAATTGAAGTCTATCCAATGCTCTCTGTTGTACTGGCTGTCTGCAGCTCCCAGTGAAACTGCTTGTGTGTTTAGATGATCATCCACCATTAAGTATTTAGCAGAACCACGAGCAAACTGCCTCCACTTGGGATTTTACATTTTTTTTAAGCACTATTTTGAGATACCCAAAGGAAATCACAGAAATTGAGTGGGTAGGGAGGAAGCTCTCATGGATGCCTTTCCTGTTTCACAGTAACTGCAAGCAGCATCTCTGAACTCTTCCTATCAGACTACCATATGAACACCTTACTGATGCCATACGACAGCAACCCAAGAAGATAAGCACTTGCTTGGAACTTGCATACACAGACGCATCTGTGTCTGTTTCAGTGCTTCTAATGCTACAGTGATATCCTTAAAGAGAGGAAGCTACAGTCAAGATGTAGACACTTGCTGTAAGACTGTTTCTACTGTGGTGTATCAGTAAGGTGACCAGTGAAGCAGAACAAGAACAGAACTCAGACGGCTGGCAGCAATGGCAAAGCAGAGGCTGCATCCCATAAACCTGTCCTTAGTGCAGAGAAGCAGGTCATCACCACAACCTTGAAGTGTGCTATTTCCCAATGTTACCAGTCATCCGATAAAAAAAACTCGCTTCTTATCTGATTAAGTGCTGGAAGTGCTTTTCCAGGGCTTACAGGGATTGCAAAGAACAGAGATGATCTGTATTGCAAATTTTTCCTCATATGACAAATTACTGAAAACCTCAATGGATTCACCTCCAAGCTGTACTACATTACAAAGGACATTTACCTGTCTATTCTCCCCTCCAGGAAGACTAAGTACTACAGCCAGGAAGGAGCATTGCTCCACAGCCTGGAAAATTCTTTATTCTGATCATGAACTTGAAACCACAGCAAGGCCATCAGCTCTTGCACTTCTATGGGCAGAAAGGAAGTCAAGATTCCTCCTATCATCTGAGGAGACTGGGGGTAATATAATGTCTATCTCCCTGATTTATTAATATTTTTAACAAACATTTAGTCAGAGAAAAAAATACTGAGTTACCTTAGATACAGAATACTAGTGGTACCTGCTTTTCAGCATTCACAGGTAGAAACCATAATGAAGCTGCGAGATGCTTCTCTCCAAATGCAACTGATGTGCACAATGTACTGTAAATAATATCACCTGCCATGGCAAAGAGGCCTTGAGGGGATGAGCAACAGGAAAGGAAAGAACTTTTTAATACTGTTGGTGGCCAGAGGGTGTACCACTGCAGGACACCCAAGTGATTAGGAAACAGAGTCAAGGACACGAGATGCTTCCCATCAGAAGAAACAACATGGGAGCTCCTTGTGAGCAATAACTATTGTGTAACCAAGGCAGCACATCTTTGCCCTCATAAAAGCAATGTCATTTGTAGGTTGAACTGTACCTCAGTGCAATTTTTTCCTCAGCGGACTTGAACAAGTGAATTCACCGATACCAAAATAATGTGCTTCCCAAGGCAAAATAATTAACTAAGTCAGATTTCACAGCTATCTAGTGTCAAGAAAGCCACTGGCAGGCTTGAGTGCTCCACAGATAAATTATCCCTTACACTATTACACTATGACTGATTTAGTAGCAGCATTATTTGCTAAGAGTTTAATTCTTCATTATGCAGGCAGGCAGCGACAAATTACCACAGGTTCTTGTCTCCAAAGTACTTTCTCTGCAACCTGTGGACTCCAACACTGTGGCTGGAATAGCACAAAAAAATTGTGGGTGGAGTAGGGGAGGAGTAGAAAAAAAAAAAGAAAAATAAAAAAGTCTCTCCAAATGCACTTGAGGACATACTGCAAGAAGATTCACCGAGCCCAGGACCTCTGTGACACCCCAGCCAGCAGCAGAGCAGGACACAGTGCCTACACAAGCTGGGATGCAGGAGTTGGTCGGGCAGGGACCCGCTGACCCCACAGAACTGAGCAGAAGGC